TTTTTTTTTGCGAAGACTCCAATATAAATATTTGCTTTCTTATATTTTTTTTCTGATGACAAGTATGACTCATACATCAATAGTAATAGAAAATAGAGGAAGTTTTGTTTGATACAATTAGTCATAGACAATAAAATATTTGAATTATTGTTGTTTTTCTGTTTCATATAGATTCAATGGCAACTCCACCAAGCGTATCAACACCAATCAAATCACGTGGTCTTACATTATTTGATCGTCAAGCACAATTACATGCTTACGATTCTGAGAAACCATCAAGTCATCCATCAACCACTACTTTTGACGTGCCTATACCACAAGTCAAGCCGATCTATTCGGCATTATCAGCACCTGTTTCAACATCACCTGTCATACACCCTCCGCCTCCGCCTCATCATCATCCACATTCACCAGTACTTTTTCGTCATCGATCACCTGAATCATCTTCAGAATATGATTCACATTCAAATACTAATAATAATGTACAATTAATTGGTGTTTATCCTCGACTTGAATCAACAATATCTACGAAAGAATCTCCAATATCTTCATCGAAAACATCAGAACAAATACTTGAAACTGATTTTCCATTAATTGAAACTTCTGCAATACATGAATCAGACCTATCCGGTAATAATTTAATCCCAAGTAATTCATTATGTTGTGCTATGATTGAACAAGCTTTTGATTATTTAAAAACCCATGATGACAATGATGATGATGATGATGATGATATTCATCGAAAAAATTCAGCACAAAATGAAGATGATCCATCATACGATGCCGATGGTTATAATAATGAAGACAATTCTGATGGGGCTGATAGTGTAGATACGATCGATCTCGATACGACAGCAAGTACTAATCATCAAAATGACAGTAAGTTCTATTATATATTTTTCTTTCGATTATTATTGTTGTTAATTCAATTGAATATTCTTATGGATTGATATGTAGTCCGATCTAATTAAATGATTTCGGTTTTTAAGTTGATTTTCTTTCTTTTTATCTCGATTATATGAAAAATATATTTGCTCGAGGCAATTTAATCATTAAACGAGAAATATTGGCTTTGTTATGTTTTCTTTTCTTTTTCTTTTTCTTTTTTTTTCTATCGTTCAAATACACATACAATATTAAACATCGCTTAGGTATGTGTGTATATATAAGCATGCTTAATGATCCCGCGAGCGTGCAACTTCTCCATTCCTTCTCATTGTTCAACTATTTGGCTTCTTTTTTTTGATTTTATCATACCTATCGTACGTTCAGATGTTGTTCTCTTCATTTCTTTTTTAAATATGAAACAAAAATATCAATTTCATTATTGACAAAAGAAAAAAGATTCGAATTATCTTGTAAAATAATTCTATTTTTCCTATGTTATATTGATTTTATAAAAACAGAAAAAAAAA